CTTTCCTGAGCCAATGCACAGCCAAAATCCACCTCAGTGCCACATCCACCAATACACCCAATGAGCTTGTGTCCTCCTTTCTGTGCTGCTGCTCATGCCATTAACAGCCCTGCTTCCCTGGGTGATACAGGAGGCAGTGCTGGCCACAGCCTGGAGTCCCTGGATGCTGATGTCCCCAGTGATCCCGAGGGTGATTTCACTCCCCAAGGAAGAGCCAACAGTGCTGCCTCTGACAGGTCAGTTCTCTCCAAGCCTGCCATTTCCTATACTAATGTTAATACATACACTTCTATTAACCCACTTTTGGTGCTGAATTTGCACGCTGCATGTGTGCTTGAGCAACACAAAAAATCTTGTCCCCAAAGGACAAAAACATCAGAGGAAAACAAATAATAGTTACAACAAAAGGCAAGATGACTTGGAATTCACCTCTAGCTCAGGCAAATACAGCCCCAGAAGGAGTGGCTGAAGATCCCAGGTACAGCAAAACTCATTGAAAACACTTGTGTCAAGATCAGAGTTCTCCCTCACATGTGTATAACCATGCTGCTGATGTGGGCAGTTTGGCACAACCTCTGTCCTGCAGATTTATTTGGTTACCAGTTGATTCCATGTGTTAGGATCCAGTTCATAAGTCAAATCGCATCCTGCTCACTCAGATTTACCACACTGTAGAGGGTTTCATCTGCTGGACATTCAGATACATTACTCAATCTTGAATAATTCAGCAGAGATAATGTATTTCACAGCTTAGTGATCTATCTTTCCTTCCATTCCAGCCCTGATCAAAGCGGCCCCAATACACTTCTGTTAGTCCTGGCCCCTGTTGGTGCTGTGCTCCTCATCACTGCGACAGCTTTTGTTGTGTTTAAATACAGGCAGATGAAGAGATCCGGTGAGTCCCTGCTCTGCTTCCTATAGTCTCTCAAAACCTCATCTTAAGGTTATATTAATGTATTAATACTGAGATGAAGGTGATAATTTGTGCATGCTGGCCTGAGCTGCTCCCCTTGTACCCTCCATGCAGACAAAGGACCTCATTTTTCCCCTCCATACATCCCCACCACAAACAGTGCCTGGGCTGAGGCAGAGACCGGGCACCGCATCTCCTTGCACAGAGGCTATTGGGATGCTGATGCACGTGCACCGATCCTGAACAAGCGCACAGGGTACTTACCTCCTTCCTCTTAACAGACCTGGTGTCCGTTGGGAGCTACAGGACAAACATCAGCATGTCAGATTTCGAGAGCGTGAAGGACTATGGTGCGAGCAATAACGCCTGTGTGAAAGAGACCCAGGAGACCCGGATAGGAGGGGACGGTAGGTGCTGACCGATGGGATGCTCTCCAGCCCCAGGGTTCGCAGAAGGACCCTATGAAAGCCACAAACCCACCCACCCATGGCCCCTGCACCCCCTTTCTCTCCCTGCAGAGTTCGTCACCACCGCGGCCACCCCAGAAAACGCTCCAGAGACAAAGAAGGCAAAAAGGGTAAGAGGAGACAGGAGGGAGCCCACTGACCTGGGAGACACCAGCACAGCCCTTCAGCCCTGCCCAAGGAGCTGCTCCCTCCCAGGGGCCTTATCTATACCCAGATGCTCCCAACTAACCTGGATCCAGCACCTGGTGCAGATCAGCCTCTGAGGGGGACCTTAACCCTTTCCTGCCCCTGTGTTTTAGCAGAGACACTAATAGCAGTCACCTTCCTTCAGGCAGTACATGCAGGGAGCATCAGGAAGGTTGGGGGTGGGTTGTTACTGTACATATGAAATACTTGGATGAACCAGAGTGTTCCCCTGCCTCAGGTACAGGGCACAGAGGTAGGTAAGGAGGTCTCCCCCATTTGACTTGCTCCTGTGGCCCCTTGGGTTAGATCATGAGTGCGTGGCACCACTCAGCAGCAGCAGAAGGTGCCAGATGCAAGCCCTTCTTGTTCCAAGTCCCTAACCAAAGGCAGTGTGTAGGTGGTTTAAGTGTCAAGAGCTGGACTGGAGAAACAGAGGAAGCTATTAGGAAACCAGTAAAACCCGGCAGCTTTAGGACTGGTGAGCTGGGTGCCACCATGCAGTGACAGGCATAACACAGAGCCCCAAACCTGCAACATTTGGGGTCTTCCCATGGCTGAGCAAAGGCATGATGCTATCACATTGGTGCACAGTCTGCATGTATCACCCTGAGAAGCTCACAGCCCCCAAACACTGCCCTTTCCCCCCCACATGTGGCTGTGGGTCTGCAGCCACCTCACAGTGTCCTCCTCTCCTTCCCATAGGGCTCCAAGGAGGATGCTGACCTTGCCTACTCCTCCTTCCTCCTCACCTCCAGCAGCATCGTGCAGGGCAGCTCGGGGGGGGACGCTGCTGCCCCGGATGTGTCCCCCCAGATCTGAATGTGAGGGACCAAAAGGCAGCAGCGACTGGGACCAGCTCCATCACAAGGACCAGAGCAAGACACCAGCAAGCAGCCCTGGTCCTTGCTCCCACAATTTCCTATAGCTTGATCTTTTTTATTGCTTAAATTCAGCTTCTGCTCTTTTAGTTTTCCTTCTCCTTTGCTTTCAAAGGCAGCTGAAAGCCCTCTAGAACCACATTTCCCACTTGATTCCTCTCAGCTTTCTCACCCAGAGGGCAGTACCTGCAGACCAGACATGGTCTGAAGTGCTTTTGGACACAAGCAATAAAGAATGCCACGAGCTTTCAGCAGACCAGGGGACATGCAGTCCATGGGAGAGGATGGGGAGAGCACACCCAAACTGCAGTAATGGTGCAATAGGGAGAGGTGAAGGAGGGTTTTCCCCTCCTTTTACTGCAGCATTAAAGCATCACATCTGGTGTTGCAAATGACATGGGATGGCAGAAGAATCCTACACTTAATGGAAATAAATACCCTGCAGATAGAGTAATGTAGGTAGCAGTAATGATGGAGTTGGTAGCTCAGCAAGGTGCTAGGCAATGGTTGTTTGTGTCAGTCTGCAGATGCTGATTTTTCATCAAGGATAAACCCCATCATGGACCTCCCACAATAAGCACTGAGATGAGCACGAGGGCAGCAGCTCCAGTGAGATTTGTGTTTACAGGGCTGCTTCCACATCCACATTACAACAGTCATCACCTTACTGATAGCAAGGCTGGGACCTCAAATACAGAATCCCAGCCTGGTTTGGGTTGAAGGGACCTTAAAGCTCATCCAGTTCCAGCCCCTGTCATGGGCAGGGACACCTTCCACTAGAGCAGCTTGCGCCAAGCCATATCCAGCCTGGCCTGGTTGTCAGGTTATAGCTCATCTCCCCCATCTCCTGGGCTGCATCTCATGCAGGACGGTGGGAAGGGGGTTGGATACTGGAAAAGCTGTGGAGTGGCCAGGACAGGTCTGCACCCGCCTGGAGTTGCTGGAAACGAATGAATGATTCTGGTGCAATAGGCAAGGTGTGCACTTGGGAAGTGTCCCCAGGGGGAAGCTGTCATAAAGCTGCAGGAGAAAACCCCTTTTGCTCTCCCTTTGAAACCCGTTTCCTTTTCAGCCTGCCCGCCGGCATCCTTCCCTCAGCTCCACTCCTGCACCATGCTGGGAGCCACAGGGATGAGCGGAACGCCCAGAGACGTGCAGGGGCTGAGCCAGTGAAGCGTGCACGGACCGAGGCATGGAACCCCCTGTGCAGGAAATCATCAATGAAATACCACCAATAATCCCTGTGACAGATTAAACCGAGGGGATGGAATAAACCCCATGCTTCTCACTCAGTCTGTGACCCAGAGCCCACCATGATCCATGGAAAGGTCCACAAGGATCTCCCCAGGCAGCCCCATCTCCTTCACCCGACGGTTCACCAAACATGCCAACTGATTCCCTTTGGTCAGTGACAAGCTGTGGTACCTCACTGCATCACTGCTTCATTCCTAAAGGCTTTTCTTTAACACAGAATCCTGGTATGTTGAAGATACCTGTCATTCTTCAACGGCTGATTTCCAGGGTGGTGGTATCATGAACCCTGATAGAGCATGGAGGGATGTGCTCACCCATTCATGCCCTAACACCAGGATAAGCGAAAGCCACACTGCAAAAATCCATGAGAAAGCAAATTAGGAGAATCCAAGACCTGAAAGGCTCTCCTTTGGCAAAAGCAAATGGTATTTGAGGAAGGATCGTGAGCAATGAGGGAGATCTTTCCCTTGGCAGTGAATCACCAAATCCCGCTCAGGGTGAAGCACATGTAGATGTGCTGTAGGCAAATGCTGGTGAGCTCACACTGCCAGGTCACCACCGAGGCTTTTAGGGAAGGGACAAGGAGCCTCCTCTTCCTCCTCTGCAGCTCTTCATCCTGTTGGTGCCCGATGAAAGGTGCACAAGGCTCTGGCAATGCCGGTTTGCTGCCAGGGGTCTGTGGTGGAGCTGAAACCAAAGCAGTACCTGGATTCTCCTTGAGGACAGGAAGACCTTATTCCATAATAACAAAGTCTATCCTCTAGTCTTACTCAAGCCTTATGTCTCATGAATGTAGCAGCAAGACCTTATCACTTGAAATGTTAGGACTAGAGTGCTACCAGGGTTTGCATTGGTTGCATTTACATGGGCCCTCACACCAAGTGTGCATAACACCTCCTGGCTGCATGGAGAGAGGACCTGGGTGCTCTTCATTCATTTACTAAAGCATTAGGCCTCTGTAATTTGCAGATACTACAGCAGTATGTATTTATATATTAACATCTTGTGGGAAAACACATTAGAAAAGGGATTTAGAGCATGCAGAACCAGTGGGTACCAGCAATGTGTGTGCCTGAAAAAGGCCCAGATGGGTGGAAACAAACCAAAACTATCCATAATGCACAATAAAAATGGTCTAAGGGACAAGGAGGGGTGATTTAGTATCACCCAGGTCTGAACTTTTCTGTCTCTGGCATGCCAGGAAGGATGCATCACCTCTGGGATGATTGCATTACCAGGAGTGGCAGTATCTGCTATGAAAGGGCACCCCAGTGAATTCAGAAAGTTTCATCAACAAGAAACATGTAATTCCTCAGAATCCGGGCAGACTCATCACAGTTTCAGGTGGGGTTTATTTACAGTAATTGTAACAGCTTTCCACAAAGCTTACTACTGTCAGTAAATTACATCGTACACGCATGAACCTTTTTCTATCCAGCAACCACGTATCTCGTGTAGGAACTGTTCTTTTACTGATAAGGCACAAAATATCATCTCGAAAGGGAACATAGAGTTCTACGGCCTGACATACCTGCTAGGACCTATTCTTGGAAGCATTTCTCACCCTCTGAACCTTGTTTCAGCCAGACCAAGCAGCAGCAGCAGCATCATAAGACTGAGCCCAGACGTATGAGCAGTGCTCTGCAGCATTAACAACACCAGAACCATTCCAACAGTCATGAATATACATTCTCTCTATAAAAAAATGATAATTTAACTGATATTTTTATGAAACGATCACAGTCTATGTCTGCAGCAAGAGAAACCCCATGAGATCTTCCCTTGGAGAGCATCCTTTGATAGAAGGCAGCTAAGTGAGTGCTGTGCTCATTTGATCAACCTCGATATTTCCACCTTCATGCAAGGCTCTGCTGATGCATTCACCTGCATACCCAGCTAGTAAAACACTCAGTGTCTGAACACAGCTGCAGTCAGTGGGATTCTGCAGTGGTACAGCACATTGTCTTCCTGCTCACCACTGGTGTGTGCAATGTGCCAGCAGCTTCCTTAGCCCCAGCCTTTGGTGGGTTGTTAACACCTTCTGCTCTCTGAGACTTCTCCATCCAATCTAGCAGGATGTCCAGCTCACCTAGGGATTTCATTGCTGCGGATGTGACATTTAGCTGAAAGGATATAAAGGATCCAGTTGTAAGCAAAGATGAGTACAACCCATTGTAAGGAGAATCTGAATTGAATTACCAATTATAAGTCTTTGTCATCAACTTACCCCTTCATAATTTGCAAGTATTTGCTTAAATTTCTCAGTGGATTCCTCTCCACACGTGCATTTTTTTTGCTCATGCTAGAAAAATAACAGAGAATTAATTTATTTGAGAGGTTGATTGCAAACAAATAAGAGATAAGCTGGAAATTACAGCCTGACACCCTGTTAAACCATGGAAAAGGTCCTTAAATCCGACTTCAGCGAAGAACAGAGTTTACTTCAACAGGCAGAGGGACAGGATAAATATTGTTCTTGAACTAACGTGGGAGTTTGCTGATGAGTGGGCAAGTATAAAAACTTCCCAGCGAGCAGATGCACTCCTCACATCACGCTGCTTTGTATCCTTGTTAAACCCATCTTTATAAATAGTCTGCATCTTTATGTTTAGGTTTATTTATACACCAAGTACTGAGAGATGAAACCAAACTGATGCAATACCCACGACTTACACACTGCCTGAGCGTCCTCTTCATGCTGAGGAAGGAGTTGGCTATGCTGCTGATCTTTCGGTTGATGTATGAATCCTCAGTCTTGCAGTGCTTGAAGACTTTGTCCACGTAGAAGTTGAAGAGGTGATGGGTGATGCAGCACCTATCTGAAGACTTAAGGAATAAAATCCATTTATAAAAGGTCTTCCAAAGCGCTAGACACAGATAATGACCCACTTTCCTGTCCTCATCTCATCTCTAACATCAAGCATGGCAGCTGAACACAGAGGTATGTTTTGATTCAGATAAAGCTTTTCTCAGTGGTGCTTGATGTAAACTAGTTATATACATAGGGAATTATTTTAGACTGCTTCTCCAGCAGTTCCATCCTCAGCAAGTCTCATTGAGTCAACAAAATAAATAGCTGATTTCCCTGCCCATGGCAGGGGGTTGGAACTAGATGATCTCTAACCGAAACCATTCTTTGTAGCTAGGTATTAGAGTCTGAGACCTGAAGCAGTGGCCCATGTCTAGAGCTTTAGAGTGTAAGAGAGCTGAACAATACTTAGTTATAACATATTTCACCTCCCAAGATCATGTTCACCCACTTTTGACTTCTGTAATAGCTTTCTACCCAAAACCTGCTTCACTTTGCTATGCTTCTGCTGATCGAAGCAGTGGGGAGTGCAGCGAAGGCTTCTGTAACTGGAGCATCACATGCAACAGCAAGAAGAAAATCTCTGCCCACCATTCCTGGAAAGACAGTCAGGGTGAAAGCCCCGGAGCAGGAACTGGCAGTGGGACACCCACCTCCTTTCGCATACGTGATCCACATCACTTTATCCTCCCTGACCTGCCTGGTGTCTGTGTTTCATAGAAACTCAGAAGTAGTCACGGTGTTGAACAACTTCCCCAGAAGCCCTGAGCTTCACCTCATCACTGGTGTCAGGATGCTAGCTGGCCAGCATCATTCAGAGAAGAACTGGAGACATGATAAGGACACCTACCTTAACCTTGTGCAGAGAGTGCGGGTGGGACAAAATGCTCAGGGTCTTGATGGGGTCTCTGGCTTGCTGCATGGGACAAGACAGAGATGGTGATGGACATGGCAGCTCCAGAGGGGCTTCAGAAGCCACCAACTAAAGAGCTTCCCCAGCCCTACAAGAGTGAAGAGCATTACTTACAATGTTGGCTTTAATTGCAGTGAAGCCAAGCCTGATCTCAGTCATGCTCATTGAAACCCTGCAGCTTCCAAAATGGAAGATTCTGTTCCCAGCTGTGGGCATCAGATCCAACCAGCACGACATGGAGAAGAGGCAGAGGAACAAGTGGGATCCCTTCATGCTGCTGCAGGATGCCAGCACAGACCTGCTCAAGGAAGACAATATTGCCTCGTTCTCTTCCCTAAATAACACAGTAGTGATGCTTGTGAAAATGCACATATTTTCTATAGCACTTGTACATGCACATGTGTATTAAAAGCCCCCACACCGACTGGTATATCCTACCCATTTCTTTTTTATTCCCCATGTGCAAGAGGGAAAATCAACCAAACCCAAATATTAAAAGGAAGATTTCAAAAGAAGAAAAAAGCAGTTAAATATTGCACGTAAATAGACAGTTACTGAAAGAAAATTAATCATAAAAGTAACTACAGATAAATTACATTACTGCAGCAGGAGGTAACTGCAACCGAGAGCAGCAGATCCCGAAGTCTGATCCCAAAAGGAAATGCTTCCCCTTAGAAATACCATATTTCAAATGAAAGTTGTTAGCACTGAAAATTAAGGTTATTAACAAAAACCAAAACCCTTTTAGAGACACATTCTAGGAATACAAGGGAATACGCATAAAGACATAGTGTGTTTTACCTGGTTCTATGATGTAGGTTCACACGTCTGCCTGGATTCTGACCTGCTGATCTCTGAAGAACGCGGTTTTATCCATGTGTCAGGAGGAAACAACTCTTGGATTGACTTTTGGAATTTTCCTTGCTTTTCCCAGCATGTATTTCCCTTTGTAATTTACTGAATTAATGAGCTAGTGAAAGGGACCAGCTCCCTCACCCACAGGTGCTTCCCTCACCTACGGAGGCGGGAAATCTTGGCATTGTCATGTCATCTTCCGTTTGGGAAGAAGGACTCAGCCAAAAGGAGGGACCATCATGGGGGTTACATTCCCAAAAAGCCAAGCTCGAGTCCTGCCCCCAGCATAAACCCCATTGCCAAACCCCTCCTGGAAAGGAACCATTCCCAGCTCATCACAGAGGCATTGGGATGCGGGAAACTGAGCAGCAACCCCTCCCTGGGGATGCCGGTGGTCCAAACAGCCCAGGGCTCCTGGCAATAGGACACATGGGGCACGAGTAAAAGTAGCATGATTCAGAAAGTTGGCAAGACCTTTCTCCATCCCTGTTCTGGCACATGGGGCCTTCACCTGCCAGGTACAGGGAGCCCTGCCCTCAGGCTTGCTCCTCAGGTGGATGGACACTCATCTCCATCAGCATGTCCCTGGTATTCGGAGACTGGAGATGCGAGAGGCAGGGCTTTGGGGTGACCCAGCCAGAAGTCTCTTGGTTTTCGGGACCACAGGTGATCATAATGCACAGTCTGAAGTTATCAGCCTGCAGAAGGACAGAAACCTCACTCAGACCTTTGATCAGCCACCAGCCCATGTTTTACCCACCAGCAAAGACTTTGACTGCAAAGCCTATGATTACCCTGCCACAAGCATTACCTGCTGAGCAGAACTGATGTAGACAAGGCCCTTGAGCAGACCAGGCATGTTCTCGTATCAACATTTCAGATCCATACTGTCCCCAGGGATCCAGGTCTGCCAGCTGAAGCATGTTGTCACATGAATGTGGCACTAATGGAGCAAAACCCAGGCTGGTTCACCATGCTGTTGGCTCTGAGGCCAGTTTGGGTGTTTCTGGTGATAGCAAAGTTCAACATACAAACAAGAATGAGCAGTGTAAAAGCTTCTTCAACTACCTGTACCCAGGAGGGGAGCTTAGATGGACTTAGAGGGCATAGAGATGGCAGAACACCTCTCTCTGAGTGAGAGCAGCAGCCTGAGCCTGTGGCTGTTGCAATGCAAGTGTCTGCTATGTGCCACTGCCTGTGGGCAGAGGCTGTTCTATAAAGATTTGCTGGGTAAGTAATTTATCAATAACCAAGCTCAATGCTGAGCATATATCCGTCACCAGGGGACAACTAGGCAAATAGGTTTTATGCCCAGGCGAGTCATAGGATTGCATATAGTATTGCTGACACTGCCATAAGTGCAGCAACCATGCTTCCCTCACCCTTGTGCCTTCACACTGTCAAAGAGCCAAAAGGCAGGTCCAAATCTGCATTTGCCCACGCTGCGGTGTTGGAGGGATCCTCAGCAGCACAAGGCTGGCAAGCTCTGCCTTTCTCCCCCAGTGCTGCCTGGAACTGCAGCTAAAGTTTCACTTGGAGCAGAGGAAGCAGCACTGCAGCGTTCCCAGGTTCCCGGTGCACGCCCAGCCTTGGTGAGGAAAGCAGGGAAGAGGCAGTGAGTTCTTACTTCACTATGTAAATTGCAGATGACAAGAAGGGATTTCTTCTCTTTCAGGGTTTTTTCCTGTTGGTAACTGAGCTGCCTCTCAGGTCAGCCAAATGCCAGCAGGCAACAGCCATGGGGTAGAAACTGCCAGGCTGGTGGAGGAAAGATGCTGGGGTGATACAGAAATGGGACTGAAATGTCACATTAGCAGGGTTGAGGACCTTGCTCCTTTATAGACCCCTGCATGGTCCTGGGTGGGCACCCCTTGGCCTCTCCGTCCTGTCACTGACCATTTGCAAAGCAGAGGCTATAGCATGACCCTTGCCATTAGGGCAAGGAGGAAATACCATGGCAGCACAGGGGAAAACCATCCAGGTAGGTTTCAGTTTGGGGCTTAAGTGTATGGACAATGATGGAGGTTGATTACCCCAAGTGCTGGACCCTTGGGAGGTCCAGAACCCCCACTTTGTGGAGCAGATGGGATGGCATCAGCAGGGATCTCAGCATGCATTTGACCAATTCCTGGTGAAGCAAATCATTCAGGCTTGGCTTTCCCAACAGCCTGCCTAAGGGAAGCTTTCGTCTACCTGCATGGAAATAAAGTCAATAGAACAGCAAGTTGTTCCTCGTGTGTTCTGGGAAGGAAGAGGAAAAGGAGAAATAGGGATTTCTGAACCACGGCAGCGTGATGATGCAGATGAGCTCAGATGGTAAAATGGGAACTGACTCCCTGAGGTACTCTCAGCATAATTAAGCCTTTTGGTTACTGCAGGGTTGGGAGTGTGCAGGGAGCAGGGATGTGGCCCTCTCCCTGGGAAACCTTCCAGCCAATGGGAGAGGGCTCCTCCCTTGGGATTTTAAGAGTAGTTAAGCCCCGAATAACAAGCAAAGGCAGCACAGAGGGCTGCTAGCCAGCTGCCACCATGCTAGGGAATTCAGAACGAGCCCCATTTATCATTAGCTTGACTGAGAAATCATTTGGACAAAGCCCATGGTGAGCATGGGCTCACATCTGCAGTGAAACAACTCCGAAAGGCACAAGAGGAGCTGTCAGTTCCATGGGGCCAAAGGGAATGTCCTCAGTGCACCCTGGAAAACCACCCTTGGAGCTGCCTCTTGGGCTGCTCCATCTCTTGGCAGCTCTGACTGCTGCCAGGAGCAATGCTCTGGATCCTGCCAAGGATGGCATCACCCTGCTGTGCAGCGCTGCTGGGTAGCAGCAATGTCTCAGCAGCAGCAGGAAGCACCAGGCTTGGTGCTTGCTGAAGTGACTGACAAAGCAGAGGTTCCTGAGGAGCCCACGGCAGGAGATGAGGCACTCACTCAGGAACAGCCAGTTACACCAGGGAAACCCAGCAGCCGCTCCCAGCCCTGATCCAGCATCACGGATTCACTTCCCATGCATTCCTGCAGTGCTGCTCAGCATCACCGGGTGCTGACCTGACTTTATTCATTTCAAATAGCCAAAAGCTTTCAGTTTATCCTAAAACAAACCCATAAAAATAGGATATAGTCAAGCTGTTGTGATGTGAAGGAGCCAGGCTGTCAAGGACTGGCCACAGGCACACATTAACACTGGGTTTCCAGTAAAGTGTTTCAGAGTGATAAGGTACCAGTTTCAATAACTGCATTTCAATGCACTTTCCTGCTAGAAGTTGTGATAACGCTTTACAGACCATTCTTGGTTTGGCAGTCTTTTTCACTACTCGTCTTTCACAGCAGCATCTCAGATATGAAATGACAGAAGAGTGAATGTCAGAAATGCCTGCAGTAATTCCAATAAAAGAGAAAATGAGACTTCATAACAAAGCCCAGCAACAGCACCTGAGCTCAGGATCTCTTCCTGAGAGATCTGCTAAAACAACCAGCTCAGCCACCTGAAACAAAATGCTTGTAGGATTTTACATCCCTTCTGGTAATTCCATGGCTCACCAAAACCCCCACCAAAGGAACACAACACTGTTTCCAGAAGCAGAAGAAAAACCGACTTGGGTTTATGCACTAGAGCCATTTCTTCTATACTTGCAGTGGTGTGAGTTGGCAGGCAGACCTACCCTAATCATAGCTGGGTGCTCTGATTGACTGCAGCAGTGCTGCTCATCCTCAGCCCCTTCGAAGTCAGAGTTTAATTGCCAAGCAATCACCTGGCCCTCCAATCCAGTGCCCGTTTCAGATCCCATTTGAATAAGTGATAACATGGCATGGTCTTGAACCGCAGGGATTCACATCAGCACCCAGATGAATGTCACCCATTGTCACTCTTTCTGCACTGACAAGCAAAGCCTGACTGCTCTTCCCTGCCTTCATTAGCGCAATTCATTACTGACAGAAACCAGGAGCTGGATAAACTGAAAGCTTTTGGCTATTTGAAATGAATAAAGTCAGGTCAGCACTGGATGATGGCAGGCAGCACCGCAGAAACACATGGAAGCGAACCCATGATGCTGGAGCAGGACTGGGAGCGGCTGCTGGGTTTCCCTGATGGAACCATGGGCAGTGAGCAGGCTCCCCAGCCCTGCACTCCCTTGGCCCCAGCTCTTTGCATTTTGCCTGCAGCGCTGCTGCCAGAAGTGAGAAAAAAGAATTGTTTTTCTCAGTAAACTCAACGAATGACTCAGAAGAGTCGGCGCAGTTATCGCCCGATCGATGCGGTACATCGTGTGCCCTCTCCTCAGGCACGTTTCTAACCATAACCACTTCAACAGCTCTGAAAGTCAGACTCTCAATGCTGCCTTTTAGGGAGCAAAGCACCAGCCCAGCTTAAGGAAACGCAGCTTTTATTCATCCCGGCTCAAGGGATGCCCAAAACTTCTCTTTTCCAGGATCTGTTCCCAAGTGGCTCATGGTATGCAGGGCTCTTAGCAGCTTTAGGACATCCCTTTGCAGGCAGAGCAGCTCCTTTCCCAGGGCTGAGGGAGAATGTCCCCCATCCTGATGTAGGGCATTACCCGTGACTGCTGCTCTGGGGCTGATTCTGCCATCCCCTGTTACCTGCAGCCCACCCCAGCACGTCCCCAGGTGCATGTCTCACCAGAAAGGGGACAGGACAGAGCCACCACCCCCAGGGAACATCACCCCCTTGCAGTGGGTGCCTCCAGGCTGACCCCATCCTCACTGTGCATGTCCTCAGCCAGGTCCATGTCACAGAAAATAAGTCTCAGCCACCACCTTGCTGAGGCAGATGTGACTCTCATCTGTGTGACTCACCCAATGGCAGCGCTGCCAAGCCAGGATTTCACCCAAAGAGGGTAAAGAAACCTGTACAAAGCATAGTGCTTTTGGGGTTTTTCCCCCCTCTAAGACTCACCTTTGTGGAAAGGGAAAAGCGTGGTGGAGGATCTCAGACACCAACACATCTGTTCTGCAGAAAACCATGCATTTAGTCACTGGAGTGGGGTTTGAAGGTTAGCTTCTTGCTTCCCTTGATCAAATGTGAACTCATGTTTTGGTTATCATAACTGGCATCTTCCCCAAAGGGAAATGCATACTGCAGGTCTTAACAGTTTAATAAAACTGCTAAAGAGCAGCTCTTCATAGTGTTCCTTCAACTGTCCAGCCCTTGGCCTTCAGCGTGTGTTCAGAAAGGGCAAGTCCAGCTCAGACCCAGGAGCTCTGTGTGATGCCAGGGACAAGCCCAAAGGAGGCCAATGCATCACTGCTCAGTTCTGGAAATGGCTGGAGAATCCAATTGCTCTTGGGAAGTTTTCACCCCCAAAACTGCAAGAGCCCAGGAGTTATCTGAAAGGTTTGGATTCCAACTGCGTGGGGGAGAAACCTGGAGAGGGGCTTGGGACAAGGGATGTAGGGACAGGCCAAGGGGAATGGCTTGAACCTGCCCGAGGGGAGACTGAGCTGAGCTCTTAGGCAGAAGCTCTTCCCTGTGAGGGTGCTGAGGCGCTGGCACAGGGTGCCCAGAGAAGCTGTGGCTGCCCCATCCCTGGCAGTGCTCAAGGCCAGGTTGGACACAGGGGCTTGGAGCAAGCTGCTCCAGTGGAAGGGGTCCCTGCCCATGGAACTGGAAGAGCTTTAAGGTCCCTTCCAACCCAAACCAGGCTGGGATTCTCTGCGTTTCAAAGACTCAAATCTGCTGATGCGATTAAACACAGGCTTTAATGAATGAGGCTTTTTCGGTTCCC